GCTTCCATTCCAGTTAAGACACTAAATCAACCAAACAAGTGATTCAATGAAGAATGCTAGGATGGAATGAGCTTTGAAGACAAGTAAAGTGAGGAGAGAGAGTTTGGTGGAGTGTGGAGGTAATATCTGAGCACAAACCTCAGGTGCTAAAGGAAGCCACAGGGAAGTACAAGGGAAGCAGATGCAAAACATTGCAAGTACTGCAATGGGGCAGTGGTTTCCTGAGGAAAAGGAGGAAGAAGCTTCAGGAGAGAGAAGGGGAGAGGATAAAGATGTTCACATCACTGAGCCTCTTAATAAACAGTACTTGAAAACGTTCACTGAGGGCCCCACTGTCCGTGTTTCCATTTTCTACATTCTTCTTGCCTGTGGTCAAATGTGGCCTGAAAAATAAGTTGTACATTGTGCATTAGTCTGAGTAGCATGATAAAATCTTGTTTTGCCCAATCTCATATTGGAGATGAATCATGTCTGTGTCTAGTGTATTCACACCGCATAGGTTACCCACTCGTTAGTCACTTAGTAGCCATATCAGTTGCCCAGATGGGCTGTTGCAGTATTGCAGTCTTTGGTGTTCAAGCAAACCTTATTTACTTAATAATAACCCAAAATACAAGAGTAGTGATGGTGGCAATTCAAACATGCCAAAGAGAAGACATCAGTAAAGTGCTGCTTTTAAGTATTAAGAAGGGTAAGGAAAGTGCATGAAGATACTTTGAGAGACAGAAAGGCTAAGATCATACTTAAATAACTGTTTTCATACTTATATAACTTTTAAAACAATATTTTGTTGTACTTGATCTGTTGATTATTAGTGTCATAAATCCTTTGGTGCCTAATGTATGAATTAACTTTTATTATAGGGATATATGCATAGGGGAATAAAACAAGACAAAGACATACAAGATCTAGTACTAGCCTTAGTTTCAAACATTCACTGGAAGGCTTGAAAACTATCCTCTTCAGGTAAGTGAAGAGTCCTGCATTTCAATCTTTTTGTTTTAGCTTTTAGAGTCATTATATATATATAGTCTTTATTGGTGTGTATTAAATTTCACATAGTAAGTTTTATTATAACACTCCCATGCATGTATAAGATGTGCTTTGATCATATTCAGCCCCTCTATTCCTCCTTCTCATCCCTTTCCTTCTCTATTCCCTCCTCCTACTTTCCGCCTTCCTAGAGGCCACTGTATTTCTTGAGCACAGGTCAAGTTGCTTCCATTTAAAGCTATCCTTAGATCCTTAGCCAGGAAAAGTTCTTTCCTCCATTAGGACTTCCCAGTGGCTGATAAATACCATGGCAATTTGTATTACAAGTTTTATTCTCTTGATAACTTTTCTGAACTAGAATGCTGTTCATCTTGGCGACTACAGTAACCGCCATGGTTTTCAAGGAATTTGGTCTACAAATGTGTGTTGTCAAAGCAATAATGACAAATGTGCTTTTGGCAGGGGTGGTTAGTGGGTGGTGATGGTGAAGAGTGATGGACTACTTTTTTAAGGTATATTTTAAAGCTCTGTAGTTTTATGTACTTTAGGTATCCATCCCCATCTCTATATGATCTATTTTTTCCAATTTTAGAGTTTACTTATTGACTTTTCACCACAGAAGATGAGGAATTAATTTTCTTAGCACCAATTTCCACCTCAGTTACAAACACATATACACACACACTCACACACACACACACACAAACGTGCATTTCTGACCTTCCTATCCACCCAATACAGAGATATCATTGTAATTTTGTTTAGTATTTCATGAGCACATGCCTATGTAGTTATTATTTGTAGCAGAGTAGAAAGTGTGTGTGTGTGTGTGTGTGTGTGTGTGTGTGTGCATGCATATGAATGTTCTTGACTATACATTCTCTGGAGTGTTTTAACTGCTGTTTAGATTGGTTTTACTTTAGCTTACTCTCATCTGTTATCCTGGATTTTTCCTACACCAACATTTTTACAATGTGGGGACTTGGTTTACTTCTCTCAGGCTGGATGCCATCTTTTTATTTTACTCCTTCATTTTAGTGCATTCTTTTTTTTTAATTTGTTCTCTGAAACCTGAGTAATGATATGCATAGGTAATTCTAGGGTAGTACACATTTTGCTCAGAAATAGAGATTTATTGATCCACTGTATCAAGACTCTCCTGTTACCATTAACATGGAAGCCATTTGGATTATGAGAATTTATTCACTGTCACATTTTTTCCCACTGAGTTTTGAGAATGTTTAAACTCTACTCTTCAAAGCCAGTGTTCTGAGATTTGACTATGTTATGGTTTAGTTTGTAATTCTTTAAAAAATTAATTTGTTTTTCTTTCATAAGTGAAGGATGCCACTTTCTTCCCTAATGACCAAGAGCTCTTAGTTTCTAGAATCTTTCTTAATATGCAAAATGTATCAATAAAAAAGGAGGAGAATGCAGTCAGAATCCAATGTACATCTTATAAATTAAAGAGTGAGGGAAGCAGGAATGAATGAGTGAGAATATTGAAAGGGGTGACATTGATCAAGATATATGTATTCATAAGCTGCTTCATTAAATAGCAGCTCCTCTGTAAATCTTCTTAAAGATAATAATACAAAGAAAAAAATAAACATAAAATACACTTCTCTATGAATTTTGACCAATATATATTGAAACCAACCTGAAATTCCATAACAATCAGTAACATTTCCATCACCACTAACTGTTGCCCTGACTTCTCTCCCCACACTAAGCACCTGTTTCTACCACCTGGGCTTAGTTTGTATTAAATCTAGATTGACATCAGATACAGTTTCCCAGAAAAGTGTTTTAAAAATTTTGGGAGATTACATTGATATGCAGATTAATCTAAAAAATGGACATTCTGACAATATTGAAACTTTGAATTAGTGAATATTAAACAGCTTCTGACTTATTCTTTGACATGTTTTATAGTTTTCAATGACTAGTTATCACACAGATTTTTGATCAAATTTAGAGGTTATTAAAATGGAATTGTCATTTTTATTTTCAATTGCTCATTGTTAATATATAAAACACTATTTTTTTAAAAAAATATAGCTGGGCATGGTGGCAACACACTTATAATACCAATATCTGGGAGGTAAGGATTGTGATTGTTGAGGATCAAGGCCATCCTTGGCAAAAGTTAGTGAGACTCCTATCTCAAAGAACAAGCTGGGCATGGTGTCAAACATTTGCAATCTCAGTGATATGTCAGACATGTTAGGAGAACGGTTGTCTGAAGCCAGCTCTCAACAGAAAAAGTGAAACCCTATCAGAAAAACAACTTAAGCCAAAAAGGAGCATGGATCAAATAGTAGAGCATCTGCAGGGCGCTATGTCCAAACCCAAGTATTGTCAAGACAATAAAAAGAAATACTGTTGGGCCCTGGTGGCTCATGCCTGTAATCCTAGTTGCTCAGGAGGCTGAGATCTGAAGATTATGGTTCAAAGCGAGCGGGGCAGGAAAGTCCATGAGGCTCTTTTTTTGGGGGGGGGGGGGAGTCCGGTCGTGGGGCCTGAACTCTGGGCCTGGGCACTGTCCCTCAGCTCTTCAGCTCAAGGCGAGCGCTCTACCACTTGAGCCACAGCGCCACTTCCGGCTTTTTTCTTTTTGCTTATGTGGTGCTGAGGAATCGAACCCAGGGCCTCGAGCATGCAAGGCAAGCGCTCTACCACTGAGCCACCTTCCCAGCCCCTCTTTTTTTTTTTTTTTTAATTGTGAAAATACTGTACAGAGGGGTTACAATTACATGGGCAAGATAATGATGCCTTCATTTTTTCTTATAGACTATTCTCAACTTTCTTGCTGGTTTCAATTTTCAGAGATTCACTTGTCTTTCCTCTTTTTAAGCTTTCTTTTTCTCATTTGCCCCAATTCTTCCTACTTCCATTTCCTTACTCTTGCTGTGCCCAAATTTGTATCCCATCAATTTAGGTTTAATACCCTCAAGAACTGCCTACTATACAATGAAGGCAGCTGCTGCTCATAATATTTACCCTGTTGCTGCTCCCATTATACTCTAGAACTTGATTAGAACTTGAATTTCTCCTTGAAAAAAATATGGATTTATTAAGTTTCCAGTTACTGACCCACGGTACAAATAACGAGATTTGCCTATAGCTCAGAAACACGTCTAGTGTGTACTTGAGTTGAAGGATTAACGCTTAGCACAAGAAATGGCCTATCAGTATTCTCTGCAAAATATTGTCTGTTCCACTACAGAAGGGCCCTATAGCAAGGGACTTTTGACAAGAATTCAGCAACCTGCCTTTCCACACTGAGAAGCATTCCCTTTGAAAGAATTCCCAAGCAGATGGAGTTTGATGTTCCTGACCTTGCAGCACTCTCTGAAAGATCACAGGTTTGAAGTTGGTTACCACAGATGCTTAATATTTGGGTGACTTAGCATGTGGGTGTTGCTTGATTTGTAGTTGTCAGGTTGTATGATGTACTTTCCACAGCTGCTTCTTTGGGGGAATCCTTTTCTAAACCCACATCTACGGTATTTTGCCTGACGGTGGGCTTTCATACATCTTGTACTTTTGATTTTTTTTCTTTTTTAAGACAAGGTGTTGCTATTTAGGCTAGACTGAGCTCGAACTGGCAGTCCTGCTCCACTTTTCTGTTCTTTTTCATTTATGTTATGATTTGTTAACATCGACTTCTTAAGCTCCACTAGGCCAAGGACTAAGAACATTCACTCTACTCTGGTCCCAGTAGGCTAAAAGTGTACACTCAAGAGTCTAACGTAGTGCCCGGCACACAATAGACACCAAACACATGAATGACAGGGCAGAGGGCCGAGCGGACCGGGTGGAGGGAACCCACAGATGCTAAGTTTCTGCCCTGGAGCTGGGATAACTTCCCTGACAGATGCTCAGTCCCGCCCCCGCCAGAGTGACAGCTCGCGGTTCCGCCTAGCCCGCCCTATGTGCCGCCTGGGGCCAAAGCCTCGCTCGTGACGTCACCGGGGGCGGTACTTCCGGCCGCCGAAGTTTAACAGTTCAGGCGGGAGCCGGAAGCCCAGCGCGGGACCAGTTGCGCCGTGGCCCCCTGTTGTGCCGCGGCGGAGAGGTGAGGTTCCGGGGTCCGTCGGCCCCCGCCGCTCGCTTCCTAGCCCTCTCTTGAATCCCAGTCACCCTCCCGGGTTCTTCACGGGGCAGGCCGGGGCGAGGGGGCTCCGCGCTCCGGGCGGTTGCTGGGCAGGGCGCGGCAGTCTCTCCGGGTCCGCGGGCCTGTGGAGCCGGCCTCGTCCCGGCCGGAGGAACGGCCAGTCAGGCCGGGTTGGCGGGCGGGGGTGTGTGTGCGCGCGCGTGTGTGCGCGTGCGCGTGCGCGATGCGCCCCTCCCCCCCTTCCCTGGCCCCCCCCCCCCCCCCCCCCCCACACACACACAGAGTTCGCCCGTGCCGCACAAGTCTGGCTCCTTTTTATAAATCTCACCCAGACTCTGGCAGTGCACGAGCGTGAGATCCAAAAGTAACCTCAGGTGAGCAGGTCTCAAGCCAGTGCGGTGCGTTCTGCCCAGGGAAAGTTGGAGAACTCTTTCAGCTCGCTGGTGGTTGATCGTCTCCCAGAGCTGCTACTCCGCCCTAACCATGGCCTGGTATCCTGACAGTTCTCTTTGCACGACCCCGTCTTTTTAGGGACTGCTGTAATGCCCCTCTCTAGACAGGCCTAGATCTCAAGACAGGCAGATGGGTCCCCTTCCCTGTCCCACGCACAGTTAAGTGATGTAAGATGACCAAAGGTAACCAGAGTTACCTTCATTGGGGCCCATTTGCCCATAACCCCAGCTGCATCCCATTTTCACGTAGGCAGCATCTTGCAGTTGTGTTCTCTGGACTTAGAGATTGCCTTTCCAGAACTTTGTTTCTGGAGTAGCCCATCAGCGCATCTGGTACACATATTTAACTCACCATATTGAAGCATTGTGCACAGTTCAACAGGTGACAGTTGCTTGAGTAGCACTGTGCTATTTGATGAAAGGGGCATAATGAAGTATATGAGTGAGTTTACTTGTTAAATGTTGGACTATTCATAAATATATGACTATTTTTTGTCTTTTGACCATGAAAGGTTTTGACACACAATGCATTATGCTTTTAATTTGTCCTCTGAATATATTAGACACAGTGTGATACTTCTTTGATGACTTAGGGACCTGTCCATGACCACTATTTTGGTTGCTATCTGTTATAGGCAGGTTTGGGGAGTGTATTTCTCTGCCCTCCTGTCCATGTATTTTTAGTATATATTTTTTTCTCACCCATCATCCATGGTAATTGCTGCTTTTTAAAGTGTCTGCCCAGAGCAGTGCTCTAGTCTGTCTTGGTTTGTGAAATTTCCATGTTAAAATTAGTGTTTAAAGAACATACTGCAAATAAATTATAAAAATAAGGGCATTGTAGACCAAAAATTGGCATACAAATGTAATGGCGTCTTCTTTGGCCATATTGCTAATTTTGCTTGTGTGGAAAACATGGATAACTTGATTCAAACTTGCAGGAATGCTAGTTTGTCAAAAACCTATCATTTTAAATAAGCTTTTTATTGTGAAAATATTGTACAGAGGGGTTACAATTACATGAGCAAGGTAATGAGTACATTTTTTTTTATTGTGAAAATACCGTACAGAGGGATTACAATTACATGGGCAAGATAATGAGTATATTTCTTATCAAGCATTGTTGCCTCCTCCTTTGTTTTTCCTCTACCATCCCTGCCCTTCCATCTCTAGACTACACTCCCCTCCCGCCTCCCCAATTGTAAAGTTCGTTTTTCAACTTGGAGTCTTGTACATTTCATTGTTGCAATGAGTCAATCTGTATCCTTATTTAATCAATTTGTTTTTTCCCTTCCCTTCCCCAAATTATACCAACATCAAATACAGTGAAAATAGGGTTTATACTGTGGGGGAGGGACATACAAAGCAACAAAAAAAATCACCTTATAAATATGTTAGAAACAAAAAAAGAAAAAATCCATTTGTGTCCTTATCTTGGGGTTCATTTCTCCTAACATCATCTTATCTGACCTTTTCTGCTTGACTCAGACATATACTAGTTATTGCAAATAAGGGAAACCATGGGACCTATGTTTCTTTGGGCCTCGCTTACTTCACTTAATACAATTTTTTCCAAGTCTTTCCATTTCCTAACATGGAGCAATGTCATTCTTGAAAATGTGGTATTATCATTTTTTTTAGTACCTACTATGTGCTACGAATGTTTCAAGACTGGTATGAGGGGACAGACATTATTATGAGAACAAATAAGAATTTCAGATAATAAATGCTATGAGAAAAATTAAATTGGCTGGTTGAAATATAGGATAACTACTAAAGGTCTTCTTTAGTCACAGTGGTCAGTCAGGAAAGGCCTTTTGGAAGCAGAAACATTTGAGCTGAGACCTGAATGATGAGAGGAGATGGCCTTGGGGAATCTGGGGAGAGATTTTAAAGCAGAGGGGACAGCAAATAAAAAGAGACTAAAGTGAGAATAACCTTGCCTTGTCTGAGACAGAAAGAAAGCCACTGTCCAATTTGTTGTCTCAGGGAAGAGAGGTAGGAGAGTTACATAGGAATGTGATAGTCTGTCATGGAAGACAAGCTAAGGAGGCCTGATAATATTGTAATTGCTTTGAGGGTCTATTGAAAGGGTCAGTTAAGGTATGTAATTTGATCTTTGGGTTAGATAGCGTCAACTACTTTGAATCTTCAACTACTTTGTGGTTAGTACAATGTTTGGAATAAAAATCAAAGTAGAATTGCTTGTTTCAGACTAGATGCATCATTTTAACTTTAAAAATTGTCTATTTGTTGCTTTTAAAATATGTTGTAAACTTTTTATAGGCTCAGTCATGCAGGAAAACCTCAGATTTGCTTCATCAGGAGATGATATTAAAATATGGGATGCTTCATCTATGACATTGGTGGATAACTTCAACCCTCACACGGCACCACATGGAATCAGTTCAATGTGTTGGAGCAGCAATAGTATCCTTTTTTTTTTTAAACTAACTACCTTTTATTAGGATTTACAACTAGTAAAATTAAAAGTTATGCATATGATCCACAATAAGAAATATATTTTGTGTAGCTATCATAGATAAAGTAAAATACATGTTTTTTTCTTTTTGAACACAGTACATATAAATGAGCTCTTTTTTTCTTTGTGTTTTTGTTTTTGAAAAAATTTTGCAGTGTAAGTCACTTAAAAATACTATTGTTGGGGAAAAAAATGTCTGTGCTGTGAAATGAAAATAACTGTTCTCTAGATCAAGACCATAGACTTAGTTGTATTATCAAAAGTTTACTAGCTAACCAAATGGAATAGTACAGAGAGTTTTAAGCAAACTTCCAATGGTTTTAGAATGACGTTCTGCATATACATTTGGATATTTGTGACTATGATCTAGAAATGAATGACTCAAAGGCAGAATCTATCATCCATCATAACTGATGTTCCCTTTGTGTTCTATAACAGTTCCCTAACAAATAATAAAATTGTTTAGACTGAATTTTTATAAGTTTTTCTGATTGATAACTTTCCCTGTCTTGGTGTACTCCAAAGTGTGGATGTAGTAAATGTGGAAGCAAAGCCTGTAACAAGTTCACACTGTTAACATTTTGGACCCAATAATTCTTTATTGTAGTAGCTTTTCTAAGTATTGTAGGATACTTGTAAGTTTGGGAGCTTCTATCCACTAGATGCCAATAGCCCTTAGTTAGGACAGCCAAAAATGTCCCCAGAATTGCCAAAATTGCTCACAGTTGAGGCCCACTGTTACAAACAGTACTCTCATAACGCTAAGAAAATATTCTATATCATTGATGTACAACAATTGTGCTTTTCTGAAGCTTACACTATTTCTTATCAATCTTATCAAAATCAGAGTATTAACATTCTTCCCTATAAAGAGAAAAATTGCAGTTTTAAAATATGACTGATTCATGAACAAAAATATTTGAACGTTTTATGCCCAACACCTTACAGATATTTTTAACTTGTATACAGTTGTTGTACAACTTTTCTTACTGAAGTTGCATCTATATCATTCCTTGATTTTATATTGATGTAGTAAAATAAATTATTTTAGTACCCCTTCAAACTCATGAAGTAACTAAATATTTAAAGGCCTCTTCAAGGCATAGTAGGGAAAATGTCTTACGGAGACTGGCAAAAATGTAAAGTTGTTTCTATTTAGATTTTCATTATGCTTAGAGCTTAATTTTGTTATGTTACTGTTAAGAAAAAAGAATCAATTCTAAGGTGGAGATAGGAGAATGAGGTTTGGGTATAGTTTGAGACCAGCCTGGACAAAGTTAATAGGAGATTTTATTTAAAAAACTAAAAACAAAAGAGCTGGAGGAGAGACTTAGTGGCAGAGTGTTTGCCTTTTCAACTTGAGACAAGTGGTAGCAAGATCCAGGCACTTAAAAATAATTATTAATAATATTTATTAAGAATAAATAGCCAAGTGCTGGTGGCTCACACCTACAATCTTAGCTACTCAGGAAGTTGAGGTCTGAGAGTCTGTGTTAAAAAACCAACTCGAGCAAGAAAGTCCATTAGACTCTGAACTTCAATTAACCACCAAAACCTCTGGAACTGGAACTGTGGCTTAAGTGATAGAGCACAAACTTTGAGCAAAACAAAGCTCAGGGAGTGTCCAGACCCTGGTCCCAGGACCTGCACCGAAATACATACATACATACATACATATTGCTGGTTTATCAACAAACTGATGTCACTAGGAGGTCATTGTTTTGTGTGATTTCTAGAAATAAGTGAGTGTATATTGTATTCCTAATGAAGCTTTGGTTTCTTCCATGGAGGTTAGTTACTGAAGCACAAAGATTCCCAGGTTCAGAGACTTGGAGTCAAATATCATAGAGCCCAAGGATGGAATTTGTGTGCATAGTTTTCTTTTTTGTATTTTTTCCTTTCATTTCCCTTTTGCTTTCCCCTTCCTTTACTCCTTTCCTTCTCTCCCTTTTCTTTCCCTCCTCCCCTTTTTCTTCTGCCTTTTTCTCCTCTCTTTTTCCCTCCCCTTCTTTTCTCCCTCTTTCTTATCTCTTCCCTCCTTCATTTCCTTCCTTCAGATTGTGTTCTTCACCTTCTCATGGTGAAATTTAAAGCCAAAATTAAAAAGTGCATAGCTTACTCTTTTATATTATCTTCTTTTCTTATATTTTAAGGAATAGTAGTGGTAAACAGAGGGAAAAAGCAAAAAAAGAAAGGCAAATGGTTTATATTTGTTTGACAATGTTGTACTGTGTTGGTAGGAATGATTTTGTTTTCTCCAGAAATTAGGTAGGAACACAGATTACTTTATAATTAGTAATGAAACTTCCACCTGACACCCATGTATTATGCCTACTACAATATTTAAATGTACCTGAAATATAAAAATGAGGCTCATGTTAGCATCAAAGGGAAAGGCATCTGGGTGAATATCAGTACCATGGTGATTTATTTGATGGTTCCAAAAACCAGAGACTTCTAAATTAAAGACATTTTGGGGCCCACATTTTATGGTGACCATTAACTCAATAGCACCTGGGACATTACCTGAAAACATTTTTGGTATACAAGGTGGCACTTTATGCTTGACTTCAATGGAATTCAGATATGAATAAAACTAGCAAAGTCATGTAAAATATGATTTTGTTTGAATTATATAATAAAATTACAATCCATGTTCTAGTCATAAAATATGTTATCACAAACTATGCAAAAATATTGTAGTAAAGATTGTCTCTATAGTTTTTGGCTCCTATACGTAGACCTTGCTGGCCTAGATCTTTTAATTTGTGACTCAGAATCAGACTTTTGTTCTTGGTTATGTTATATTTAGTCACATTGCCTTTAAAATACATTATTTTGTGTTTACTCATTTCTCTGTATAATTTAGGTAAAATAAGATAATTATAGTTCTAAGACTATAATTTAAAATAAGGATAAAATCTATAGACAGTTATGATTTACAGTTTAACCATACTTATATTTACTATAGTGATTATGATATTCATTCTTAGTATATTTAAGATCAAAACATTCTACCACAAATATTCAACTTATGAGAGAGTTTCAATCTTCATTTTCTTACTGGGAAAATTAAGAGAGTAATATAATGCTTGACTCAGTGTAAGTTTGTAATAAGAAGCGGTGGATTGTTAATGTATCTTGAAAGTTTTTTGTGTATGGAAATTCTGTTTTTTACTGATGCTGCTTTTATTATGCTCTCATTCCTAAAGGTTAAAGTTAGACCTCTGACTTACCCAGAGAAGGAAGTATTATTTTATATGAGTTAAATGGCTTTCAAGGGATCACATAGCTAGAAGGAAGAGTTGTTCTTTAGAATGCTAAGAAAGAGAATTAGTAATTGTAACTGGAGCTATTTTTGAAAGCTAACATATAAGTTATATTCATTTACTTGTCTTAGTGTTTGCTTGTATAAGTGCTTTCTCATTATATAGTCTAGGGTTGTAGGTGCTCATGAATTGTTTGATGCTCCCTAACCCTTCATTTAGATAACTTTCTAGTGACAGCATCTTCTGGTGGTGACAAAATAGTTGTTTCAAGTTGCAAATGTAAACCTGTTCCACTTTTGGAACTTGCTGAAGGGGTAAGTGATTTGTTTAAAATATAACCTTTTTATTTAAAATTTTAGTTTTGCTTGAGTGGCCATAGCTTACTTATTGGAAGCTTGTAGCTAAATGTAAAGTTGTTTAAAAGTGTCATTATTGGCTGGAGGCATGGCTCAGCCATGGACTGCCTTCCTAGTAAGCAGGAGCCTTTGAGTTCGTAACTCCAGTGCCACCAAACAACAACAACAACAACAAAACCCAACAAGTGTCATTATTAGCCTAAACTCTTAGCAATACAATGGCATTTAAAGATTTTTTTTTTTTTTTGAGCCGCGGCTCCATTTTTGGTTTTCTGGTAGTTAATTAGAGATAAGAGTCTCACAAACTTTCCTGCCTGGGCAGGCATTGAACCTTGATCCTTGGATCTCAACTTGCTGAGTAGTTAGGTGTGAGCCACCAGTGTCCAGCTTGTTGAAATGTTTTAAGTAAAATAACATTGACATGTAGGGGAGCAATTGAGGACTTGGATTTCATTTGCTAGGGGCTTACCTTGCCTATTCTTTTTTTAACCTTCTGTGCTTGGGACCATTGCAATGCCTTAGGTTACTATGTTTGCCTGACCATATAATCTGTAATGTTGTAACTGCCTTTAATGGACTGTGGGCTCAGAGCCATCAGAAAAATGACCATGATAGCCCTGATAGTAGCCCTCTACTTCAGATTCTGTCTACTTTGGACTACAGTGCCTGCCTGAGCGTGTCTCAGTCTCTCTTGAACAGGATAGTTTTGTAGAGTGACCTTTACATGAAGCTCTTACTGTGTGTTTTTTCCTTACCCTTTTGTTTTATAAATTCATCTGAATGATTCAGGATCACATTGGCTTTATCTTTACATTCACATATATTCCTTGATAGCTCTTTCTTTTAAACAGAGTAAGTTAGCGATACGCACAAGACACTATGTTGGAAATGAACTTTACAACTTGGGGAGAGGAGTTGAGGGGGAGGGAAAGTGGCAGAAAACAAGGGAGAGGGTAACAATACAACAAGAAATGTACTAATTACCTTACTTATGTAACTGTAACCCCTCTGACGTCACCCTTATAATAAAATAAGATAGAATTTAAAGAAAATCTTTTATTTTATGATATAAATCATATTAATTACATGTTTAAGTAGTTCCAACATTTTAAAGTTAATTGTAGAAATTAAAGCTAAATAATAAAGTTGATATTTAAAGCACAATAAGGATGAATGCTACTTTATGATGTCATATATTGATAATCCCAAATAAAATTTGGTATACATATTACAAAAAGAAGAGTATAAATAGCTTATAGCTTGTACTTTCCTTAGTTTCAGAGTTTTTATAGCCTTAATCTCTTCCAGCTTAGACATAGTGCCTTGGCAGGAAAGATGTCTGCCAAACAGGGTAGAAATGGAGTTTGAGGCACTCTGCCTGTTCAGATGGAGCTAAGTAGAACTGAGACCGTAAATGCCCTTGTTAATGAGCAGACTGTACTTTTCAAGATGAGACAGAGTAGCCTCGTCATCCTGGATCCTGACATCAGAGATAGCCAACAGTTTATTATCAGTACCAAAACAGTTTCTTCTACCTTCTTCACTGTTATGTGTACTTTTATGCATTATGTTTTAGAAGTGCACATTTGTGCATTATGTTTTAGAATTAGTGAATTACTGTCTGGGATCTTTTTGTTTTAATATTTTTTTTTTTTTTTTTGGGTCCGGACGTGGGGCCTGAACTCTGGGCCTGGGCGCTGTCCCTCAGCTCTTCAGCTCAAGGCTAGCACTCTACCACTTGAGCCATAGAGCCACTTCCGGCTTTTTTCTTTTTTGCTTATGTGGTGCTGAGGTGAATAGAACCCAGGGCCTCATGCATGCAAGGCAAGCGCTCTACCACTGAGCCACCTTCCCAGCCCCGTGTTTCAATATCTTATACTCTGTACTATAAATCATATCTTACACTTTAATATTCACAAGTGGATCATAAGGATTTTGTTAGCCCTCTTTCTCATCTTTCAGAATTATAAGGTAAATAAACATGGTTCTGATTTTGAATATTCCTTAATTTACTTATAAAAACATTTTGCAAACATTTTCTTAGCCTTTATTAGGAATTTCTTGTCACATATTTCTTATTGATAACTTATTTTTTGGTGGGATGCAAGTCTCGTCACTCATGTACTTTTTGAGACAACTAGATTTTATCCACATGGCGAATTAAGATTCCACCCTACTTATTTTAAAATTATTCTTAGAGTAGGATTTTAATTTTTTTAATTTTATGTTTTGCCTCTAAAGTAGACAGATTGATATTAGCAGTATTATAGTGAATATAATAGGCTACTAAAAAAAAAATCTAGATGTCTGACCAGGTCTTATGCTTAGATTTTGAAAATTATGTCTTTTTATTTTTTGTTTTTGAAGGTTTTGGATTCCTACAATAATCATGCAACTTCTATTAATTATTTAAGTTCATTAGCTACATTAATAATACATTAACAAGGAATGATCTTCATGAGTAAGCCAAATGTGTTTTGTTGTGAGCCCATAAGAATAATTGTAGCTGTACAGTTGGCATCCTAAAATACCTACCTAATGTGTTTGGTGGATACTATCCTTGTCCCTTTATTTACAGGCTGTTTTGATGGTACTTAGCAGACTGTCCTGGTTAGCAGTGACAACTTTTTTTGTCGCTTTAGACCAAAGTTAGTTCCTAGTTCCTAATTAGGATTGTAGCAAGTATATCAAAACACTGATGTAATGTGTATACTGCTATTTTTATATGTGATACTTGATACTGTTGGTCAAGAGTTAAAAGAAATCTTGACTAGGCAATAAGGATGGGGGAAGGGACCAACTATATCCTTATAAAACTCTTTGGAACAGAAAAAGGTTTTGAAGATGCACACTTAAGAACAGTAGATCTAGTCTTTGTTTCTCAGATTAAGAATACTACCTTTTGAAAGGCTTTTCCTATCTGTAAAATCAGAAATCTAAACCACAAGTTCCTTAAAAGCCCATCTCTTTAGTATTTTCTGAGCTGAGGATTGATTGTACTTTAAGATATTTTTTAGATATTGGGAGAGGTTTTATTATTATTATTATTATTAAGGACAAGTAATCCTGATGGGAAGTCAAGACTTGCAGGAGTTTCCTCTGCCTTTTCTGCCATTACCCTTCAGTGAAAAACACTAACCTACTTGATTCCTTGAAGTCTTGAAATCCTTGAAGTCTTGAAATTCTTGCAAGCTGGTAGATCCATATGAAAGATGAGAGATGAGTTTTGAGTTATGAATATTAGCATCTTTATAACATAATTTAGCATATTTATCACATACTAAGTGTTAGATGAAGACTCAATAGGTCTGAGCTCTGTTGAAACTAACCTTTTTTGTTTTTGTTTTAATAATAGCAAAAGCAGACATGTGTTGATTTAAATTCTTCATCTATGTATTTGGTAAGCGGAGGCCTAAATAGCACTGTTAATATTTGGGATTTAAAATCTAAAAGAATTCATCGATCTCTTAAGGTAAGTAGTTTTGTTTTAAATCTTTACAGAATGTAAAGATTTTGAATTTGAACTCTTATGTTAAAATTGAAATGCTTCAGAATTTAAGTGAGTTATTAGGAAAAATATAGGCACTATCTAGCCTGAACATCTTTTGTCTCTTTTCCTCCATTATTACTTATTTTCTGTGTTTAGCACTTATTTCTAGTTTTGTTTGAGGGAACTGCCTTCTTCACTTGTTTCTGAAGTGTGGTTTGTTATTATCAAGGAATTTTTTAAGATACTTTGAAGTTGAAAATGCACATGTCAAAATAACAAATAGCAGCAGCTAAATGCATTATGGGAACTCAGAAGGTCAATCGTAGCTGTGGTTACTGGACTGAATACCATCATCCAAGAACCCCTTTTGTGTTTTCAAAGTACAGTCAAAACTTGGCCATGGTACTCTGTGTTCTTATCCATTCTCTGATCCTCCATTTCTTCTGTATTTTGTAGCAGGTACCAGACATTACTGGTACATATCTTCATGTTATTGAGTCACTTCTTATTAAGGAAGTGGTATGTTGAAGAATGGTTTGCTTTTTGCAACCTTGAAATGTAATCCTGTGACTGTGGTTTAAATACTACCTTTGGAAGTTCATTATTTATAAAGCATACTCTAAAATCTAATACTGGAAAAATAATTTAAAAGTCATCACTAATGAACACAGTTAACTTATTGAGCTCTTCAATATGTCATCCACTGTACTAGCATATGTTTATTCTATTTATCTCAATAATTGCAAAGCATGTGGTATTATTTCTGTGGGCAGATGGAGGAACTGAGCCATAGATCCTGAAGAACTTGTTTGTGTCAAACTGTGTCAAACTTAGCAATGGAAAAGATGAGATGCAAGTACAGATGCTACTATTCTTTAGTCTTTTAAATTCTGAAATATTTGTATGAAAGTTATTGAAGAGCTGTGCCTACTTTGAATCGGGAGCATCTTCCAAAGTTGAAACTAGTCTACAGGAAGTTTTATCACACTTAGGAGCTTCCCTTACTAAATTCCCTTAATAATTCCCTTACTAAATCATAGTAATTCTTTAGGAATACTCCCATATGGGAATAATCCCATATAATGGGACTAATCAATGTACAAAATGTTGGTTATTGTATTCCTTCTTTGATAGAAATCAGCAGGAAAATGTACAGAAAATGCTTTAAGGTCAGAGAAAAAGTTATAGGAAGAATATTATAGCTATTACCACTTGAGATGTAGTTCCACATCTGGCTCTTTGATGGTTGGTTCATTGGAGATAAGAGTCGCATGGACTTTCCTGCCTGGTCTGTCTGCTTTGAATCGTCATCCTGAGATCACAGCCTCCTGAGTTGTACCTACTATTCTTGATAGTATATGAACTGTTAGGTACCAAGTTTAGTTTATCTTAAAATGACACCAAATCAGTGAGAACTATCCTAACCCTGGGCAACTTTCTGTGTTCCTGCTAGGCATTGCTAATTTCATATTTAGAAGCAGTCCTCCTATACAATCCACTTTTTATCTCCTCAAAGTGTGTTCTTTTTTGAGTAGCAAATCAGGCATAGTGGGAAGAAAGGCTTTGGAATTTGATGTAGAATTTACTCCTGGTGCTATCATTTGGTAGTTTTGTGACCTTACTACTGGTTCCTTAACTTTTCTATGCCCCATGTATTTCAGTAATTCATAGGCAAAATTACCCTTGCCTCTTGGGATTTTTTTTAAGGATTAAATAGTAATATCCGGCACTGATAGGTGCTTGGCAAATATAAACCGCTGCTATATGATCTCTCAAACATGATTTGCTTATTTATTTTTTTCTTCATTTTGCAGTGTCTGATTTCTTTTCTTCTTCCCTAAGTTATCCTTTTCTGAGTTGTTCCAGTTAGTCTTGAACTTGACATCCTTTGGCTTCAGTCTTCTGAGTCCTGGTGTGTATCAGGACTTAACCCTTTTTTAGAGTTGGTGTGTGGCTTTATGTTGTTCTCAAACGTGACTCAGGTCACATGATGGCTTTTTCGTTTTGCTCTGACACTTTGCCTCTACTACTCACTTAACATTCACTCTATCATTTTTGTGTTCATTTAAGTCTTTTCTAGGTGAATATCATATTCATAAGAGCAAGCACTCCCCTAATAGTTAATGTGCAATAAATGTTGTCAGTGGGAGTCAGTTTTGGGAGACATTTAGCAAATTACCCTATCATACTGTCTTGTTTCAGAGCACTTGCGCTGTTAATATAATGGTTATGAAAAATATGTTTCCAGGATTTGGTGTTGATTATAGTTTCTTACTCATTGGGATAATTTTTTAAAAGTTACTCAAGGACAATGTTAATGAAAATATTAAATTGAAAAAGATGAAAATCGGCTGTTTAGAGATTATAGCACACTGTACTTAATTGGATTTCTCTCTTTCAGGATCATAAAGATGAAGTAACTTGTGTAACATACAATTGGAATGATTGCTACATTGCTTCTGGATCTCTAAGTGGCGAAATTATTTTGCACAGTGTAACCACTAACATATCTAGTACTCCTTTTGGCCATGGTAGTAACCAGGTATAGTATGGCTTTATTAAAGTTGATAACATAGATTTTTAGCTGTGTGCCAGTGGCCATTCCTGTAATCCTAGCTATTCAGGAGGCTGAGATATGAGGATTTTGTTTGAAGCCAGCTTGGGCAGGAAAGTTCATAAAATGCTTATCTCCAGTTACCTACCAAAATAGTGGGAAGTAAAGTTCAAATGGTAGAGCGCTAGCCTTGAGCAAAAGAAGTTTAGGGCCCAAGTCTGGCACACAAACCCCCCCCCCAAAAAAAATTTTTAATTACTAAGACAGTGAATTTAAGTTGAAAAAATTTAAATATTTTTAATTTATATTTAAATTGCTTGAAAATTTTGTAGTTAATGGTTATTGATTACATTTTAAACTAGATATACTAGATTTAGTGCTTATACAAACTCAAGTTATATAACTGAATAGATCTCTCACCTAGAACATAAGTATATTTAATAAAGTGCAGCTAGTTGGTAATAGAGTAAGCCTATTATGAGTGTTAATCTTTCTATGACATTTCCATTATGGAAGTGTTATTTCAAACTATATATATGCTATAAGACAGGTATTTATGTTCATAAATACTGCTTGGTGGACATGGGATAATTAAGAGTGTTTAGGCAGAAGGTAATTGAATTTTGCATTTAAAAATTTTTAAGTATATGATGAATCAAAGCTTATTAATATGTTTCAGGTTAGTACAGGGTTATTTGGGAAAAACTTAAAAAATTAGATAATTATATATGTTATTTTACAAATATTAGCCCATTAATCTTTCTCTTAAAAGCATGAGAAGTTTCTAGTAAGGCACTCGTGGCTCATGCCTATAATCCTAGCTACTTCATAGTTTGAGGCCAGCCTGGACAGAAAAGCCCTTGAGACTCCCATTCATTGAAGAGAAGCTACACACAGTAGTATCATCTGTCATTTCAGCACTGATAGAAGTCTGATAGTAGGTGATCTGGGTGCAGGTGCATACCTGGGCAGGAAGCAAGACCGTATCTCAAAAACAAAAACCCAGACAAACAAAAAACAAACATGGGAAAACAGGGCTAGTTATGCCTCAGCTGTATAGCACCTACCCAACAAGCTTCAGGCCCAACTTGGATTTAACTCCCCCCTACCTCCCCAGTTTTTTTTTTAAAGGTTTCTGAAGAAATCTTAATTCTTGTCTAATTTCTCATGAAATTCTCTACCAAATTTCTAGTAACTTGTATCTTCTTTTAAGATGAAATCTTGCTTTGCAGCCTCAGAGGAGAGAGGGGGGAAAAATGGTGAACTTTGTATCTTATTGTTGGTACTTTGGCTGAAAATATGAGAAATTCTCATGAATATGAGAAAGCTTCACTGTTTGATAGCAGTTTTTAAGAAGTTGCTTGACTAATATGTATTATTTAAGGAAATTTTAATGGATATTCAAAATATAATAAGAAAGTCCTTTTTCAAGTTTTGTGCTAGCACTAAAGGTGATGTATTTGTAAGTTATATGAGTGACTTGTGCAGCAGTCACTTGATTCTTAACAGGCAAGGGAAAACTTGCATATTGAAGGAGTTCTCTTAGTTGGGTTAATGCTCAATTGACTCTTGCTTGTTTGCTTTTACTACGACTATAGACGAGCCTCTGCCAGTTATCTGATGCTAATGTGTATTAGGGTTAGCATTATATAGTCACATGAGAGTTAGCAGTTATGATAACATAAAGCCTAATCCCATAGTCTTAGGAACTCTTATGAGTAATTGTATCTAGTCATCAGTTCTTTTTGTATATTAGAAGCAGATAAATTTATACTTTTTGGGCCAGCTTTTTAGTAACAAAATTTAGTTGGGATACCACCCTATGTGTTCTTACCCTTCAGTTTTCATTGTATTTTGCTAAACTAAACTAATGGAAATCTTTCATTTGTTTTGTTTTAAGCACTGTGATTATTGATTCTGTTCTCATTCAGTCTTTGATCCTTTGCTATTCTCATTTTACATGTAACTTTTTCTTTTTGCCATGTATTAAATTGTACACAGTAGGGAGTATCTTCATGGTATTCCCAAACATGTATATAAGGTCCTTTGACCATATTTACCCCCCTCTGTTAGTTTTGTCATCCTGTCCTTCTCTTTTCCCTTTCTACTTTTTTGTAGTCCCCTCTTTTACTTTTATGACGTTGGTTGTTTGTTTTGCTTTGTTTTCTTGTAGTTTCAACAAATGAGAAAAAACATGTGATACTTGTTTTTGTGGCACTGGTTTATTTCACTTACCATATGTTTCCTAGTTCGATTTATTTTCCATCAAATAACATAATTTCATTCTTCTTTATGCCAAAGTAAAACTCCCTTGTTTTCTTTATCCATTGATGGGCAACAATGATGGTTCTGTAATTTGGCTGTGGTGAATAGTGCCATGATAAATATGAGTACATAGGACTCTCTCTAGAAAACTTTGATGGTTTTGAGTATATACCCAGTAGTGGTGTGGATGGATCATATGTGGGAATTCTGCTTTTAACTTTTTTGAGGCACCTTCACAGTGATTTGCATAATTTCCAAAGTGGCTGTACTATTACAATCCCACCAGAAATGAGTAAGGGTCCTTTGGAGTATGCTCCCATTTTCCACAGCCTCACCATCCTTTGTTGTTTATTGTCTTTATGAAAGCCATTTCTGACTGGGGTGAGATGGAATCTCAGATGATGTTCAGATTTTCATTTCCCTGATGTATAGTATTTCTTCATGTTCTTCTTGGCTATTTGTATTTCTTCATTGGAAAGTGTGTATTTTTTAATGTGCTTATTTATTTGATTATTTATTACTTTAATGTGTAATTTTTGAGTTCTTTATATATCCTGGATATTAATTTCTCATTGGACAAATATCTAGCAAATATTTTTTTTATCCTGTAGGCTATCCCCCTACTCTATTTGATTGTTTCTTTTGCTGTTTAGATACAAACCATTTGGTACAAACCATTTGTCAATTTTTGCTTTTATTTCCTGAGCTATTGGATTCCTACTAAAAAAGTCCTCTTTGCCTATGCCCATATATATGAAATGTGACACCTGTGTTTTTCTGTAGTCATTTCAAAGTTTTGGTTTTACATTAAGATCTCTGGTCCATTTTAAATTGATTTTTGTACAGGATAAGATATTAGAGTCTCTCAGTTTCTCAGCACAACTTGTTAACATGGCTATATTTTATAATGTATGTTTTTGGTGTCTTTGTCAAAAAGGAGATGGCTGTTGCTGTGTGAACTTATTCTGTGCCTTGGGCCTTCTATTCCATTGATCTGTGTGATTTTGCTCCAGTTATCACTTTTTTGTTGTTGTTGGTTGTGGGGCTTTAACTCTGGGCTTGGGCACTGTCCCTGAGCTCTTCAGCTCAAGGCTAACACTCTTAACACTTGAACCACAGCACCACTTCCAGTTTTCTGGTGTTTAATTGGAGATAAGAGTCTCATGGACTTTCCTGCCCAGGCTGGCTTTGAACCATGATCCTCAGATCTCAGCCTCCTGAGTAGCTAGGATTACAGAGGCATAAGCTACCTCTGCCTGGCTTATCCCATCACTCTTAATGGACTTTGGAAGTCCAGTCTTTAGAATGTCACCATTGTTTGTTTCTGGATGTCTTTCTAGATCAAGACAGATAAGATTATAAGACCTGGATGATCCAGAGCTTCTTGAAATCTTGCTCTGATCTCTTGTTACCTTGTGCATAAGTGCAACATTTATTCTTAGCTCTTCTGTGTACTAATAGAATTATCCTTAAAATACTAACTGATAAGTTGATACATTGTTGATTTTCATGTAATATTCATTGATTACTTTGCATTGGTAAACTGAATTAGGTTTATCTGTTAGTTTGGAACACAGTAAATTAATATCAAAGCTTTGTGCCTCATACAAGGTGAGATAAGCCAGAACTTAAGATCTTCATGAATATGCTGCCTCCTGTTTGGGCAGTCTGCATCTCTGTAGGATCTTTTCATATAGTTCTTCATGGGAAGTTCATGTTTCATTGGAAAACATTACCAGGAAAACATTCAGCCAACTGGATGAACTTGATCAAGTCAGTTAACTCTTAATCCTGCCCCCTTTCTTACCTGCCAAGTGATAATAATAATATTTTCAGCAGTATTTCTTTTTATGGCTGAGATGCTGATATATATCATAGTATATATCATTTAGTAAGAGTGTTAGCTGCTGTTGTGAGCTATTAAAATCAGTCTTTTAAAATCGCTTTGGTTATTAGTGAATATTTTTAATATAATATGTTTCCTCACACTCTTGCTGATTTATCAATTTTAACTTGGTTTCACAAATACAGGTTTTTTTTTTTTTTTGTTAGACTGATGAGAACATTAAAGACGTTCAAATTATTTAGCTTTCTTACCTTTCCCTGAGACAAGTGTTTATGTGATTTTTGTATACTGTCTTATCATTTTTCTTTGATAAACTATACTATTAAAAGGATGGTATATAGTATAAGTGATGCTAGGGTGACTTTCCTCTATAATCCTAGCTACTCAGGAAGCTACGATACAGATGATTTAGGTTCAAAGCCAGTCTAATCCCAAAGCCAGGAAATTCCCTAGGATTCCATTTCCAAAACAACCAGTAAAACATTAGGATGGAAGCACGGTTCAAATTATAGAAAGCCAACTGAACAAGTAAGCTGACCAAGTGTCCTGGCCTGAGTTCAAATCCCTGTGCCAGGGGGATAATAAAAATACATGGACTAGGAAATAGGAGTTAGCCTCTATATATCAGGATGGTTGTCCCAGTTATCTTAGTGAGGAAAGTCACACTTTATGATTCTATATATATAAGCTTTCCTTTAAATAATTGAAATATTTAGGGTCTTTTAACTTTAGTTTTTAGGGTTTTTTTAATTTAGTTTTTTTCCTGCGAACAATTAAGTTACAGCTTACTTATTTTGACCAAAAGATTATAAAATTGCTACATGAACTTGTATTTTAAAGAGTTGCTAAATTTTCCCAGAATTCCTTTAAGATTTCA